TCAAACTGAAGGCGACGCTCCATGCGCGCGTTTTCCTCCTTTTGGCTCAACTGTTACACTCGTACAACGAGTAAAGGTTCCGATGGCGCTGCACCCATCGCTCAAAGGGGTTTTCGTCATCTGCAGCGGTTTTTCTAGGGGCGATGACCGCAGGAATCGTCCGCATCGCGGGTCAGTAGCGCCTACTCTCTAAGCACGAAGTCGAGTGCGGTACGTATCGACCGGGATTTCTTGAGGAGCCAGAAGCGAGCTCAGAAAGCTTTTTGTTCGTCAAGCCCAGCTTGTGTAGTGGCCGGGGGCCCAGACGCTTAACGATCGAGTGATCGCGTCTGTTGCCTTTGAAGCGGGATCTGTCGAGCGGAAGCCGTACTCCACAGGCGTCAAGAAACAACCGTGGATGCGCGCATGGGAGTCGCCCTGTGTATGGCATCCAGCTGCTGCTTCTGTGACTCGTCGAGGTCATTGGCAATGACGCCACTTACCCCGGAGGTCTAGAGGTTGAGAATCGTTCACGGCGTCTGCAAGGTTTAAACAGGGCTCACGTCACACCGCTGGCACACCTCGACCTATTATCCTAGGACAAGAGTATCCGACTCGTAGTCGACTTCTTCCAAAAATTATCCTCGACGAGGTAATCCATCGCCCGAGGCGGGCACGGTCGGGAGTAGGCATTGCGTAGACAACGCGTCTGTGTTCTTGGTCGTGCTATTCTATCACTGATATCGCTGATAATGCGCTGCGCGTAACTCGGATACTGAGAAATTGAGTTGCTCTTCCCTTGAGGTCGCGGACGTGCTGCACGTGGTTGCCCCGCGTGCAGAAGATGGAGAAGGCATCTACCCACTGGCGTTCTCGGAAACAGCGAGGCTGGGTGTCTTCCTGGGCCTCGACGCAGGGCTATTTGAGCAGAGAATTCGTGACAAAGGTCCTGGTGATGTTTTGTGTCTTAGACACGCGAGCCTCGCTTGAGCGACAGTTGAAGGTGAACTGTCGGTATTCACAATCTTGGAAGGGAGAGTGTAACGCTGTTTCACGTGCCTTGGTATAAAAGGTGTGGGCTACACAAATGTTTGGTATGGCTACACCTTAACAAGAAATCAGTACGTGGATTGGTTGCCAATAGCTATACATAATTAGGTTTTCCTATATATATGGGGAAACCTATAGATTTATATATAGGTGGCTTTGCTGCAAATAAAAGCGAGACATTTAAAACGGGAAAGTTATTTAGCCTTAAGTTAAGGTTATAATTACTTGTGAAGTAAGTGAATTGCGATCTGAAACACTCGTTCTCATTATAAGTACAGAACGAAGGTCACCGACCTTAAACAAGCTTCCTCTTAGCGGTAGAGCTACGGCAACTCCGCTGCATAAGTGACGATGGCGTTTTCAAAACTGACCGAAATCTTGATAAAAATATTTCTATGTACCATGAGATAAACGTGAAAGTCTAAACCGAAAGTGAACCGGGGACTCAATTATGTGCTGAGCAGACAAAATTGTCTAAAAGATGTATCCTTACAATCCTATTTCCGCGGGACGACTGTGTCTTACGACATGCAGAATTTGATAGCTTTGAGACAGTCAAGTAGGCTGGGCTGTGATTTCAAGAACAAAGTCTAGTGATACGTTTGAAAGTTCACATTGCAGGCATCGCTTACAACAGCCCCTCAAATACAATACACACTCATGTGCGACGATATAGCGATTCTCGTCTTCGAAAGACAGAGGCACGTCTGTCTTGTCACAAGTAAATATCCTCAAGTAGAAATCGGCATACTAGGTCACACAGAATGTCTGTGATTTTTTAGAAGATGTCATATATGCATGTCAAAACACAATACTGTAATCTCTTTTTTTAAATTTCTACAATACAGGAGGAAGTTGCACAGATGTACGTTACTGTTCCGATCATTATGAAGCGATCAAGTTAACTTTAGAGTGGTTTTTGCCTAAGCGTTGAAGAAGAGTTCTAGAACTGTTTGACTCTACCGCCATTTTCAACTAAAATCAAAAAGTTGGGGCCCAGGTAGTTGGAGAATTAAGATGTCGCATCATAGAAGAGGGCGATTTCACACCTGTATTGCCATGCTTTATCCCAAAGTTTGATGCATTACAGCACTTTCTCAGCCAGGAGATCTTAATAACATTCGGTTGTATAATGCCAATGATACGGGGCAAAGAAATATATTGATTCCAATTAAAGCCAAAACATTCAGTGTGTGTGATGTATAAAATTTAATTGTCAACTTGCCTCATAGGACCAAAAACGATCGGAGCGGATAAAGAATTAAGTAGTCATCAATATGAATCAAGTATTTTTTGTTCCACATGTTATATTCGTTCGCATACCGCGATCTCGTTTTACGAGACACTCGGACGCAAACAGCTCTGCTGTAGAGAAAGCAACGTCTACACCATCCACAGTAAATGATCCTCCCACCCCTTTAATGTGCAAAGCGGATCTGAAGTGCTGGGGTGCTCTACATCAAGTAGTACGAAGCGGAGCTCAGAATGCAAGACTGAGTCCGTGACCTGACTTATCTCACTTTCGGACACATGCCAATACTTCTGATAAGAGAT